CCGCGACGTAAAAGTGAGTTCCATGTGGTACTTCCGTTTAGTCGCACTTTTCTCCGTTTAGTTTGTCATAAATAATTATTTTGCGGAACCTGCCTCGCCTTCTGCGAAGGTAATCGCGTGCAATCTATCTCTGCATTTGCACACACCTGTTATTAGTTCTTGGATTCACTTTCGAAATAATAATCAAATAAACTTTTAGTCTTTTATTTCTTTATATTTTTTTTTGTTATTATTCCTTCTCCAGCGAATAACCGAAGCGGCTCAAAGCGCCTGTAACGTCTGTGCCGTCTGATTACTGTCATAATTTAGTGAATCTGGAGTAGGAAGCCTCGCGCGTCGTGGCGTATGAGAACCGTGCCAGGCTCCCTATCCTCCAGGGCGACAGTCACCTATAACCAAGCCTAGAAAGCCCCTCTCAGGGCCGCCGAGGCATCCCTCTTAACTCTCATTCCTTGAAATCCGTTCTAGGAAGCCCCTCTCAGGGCCTCCAGAGCGTCCTAGACTTGCCCTCCAGTCGCTCAAGACAGAGCCCTGGCCGGCCTTCCGAGCGGAGAGCAAGAGCCCCCTTCAGGGCCCCCTGCCGCTCACCCTATCTCAATCCGCCTGTCGTTACTGAAAGTCGGTATATTGTAGATGACAAAGGGGAACCGCGCCGGTCGGGACAAGGCCCTAAAGCGGATGCAGCGCGAATATTATTGGCGCGCAGACTTTGATTCGCGAGAGTTCGCCGATTCCCGCATAGTCCAGCCGCCGGGATTTTATCATCCCGTCCCTGGGAACTCCCAGGATCCGCCGCCACCGCCGCCTCTACCCGCGAGACCGGTGCCGACGGTCCAACAAATAGAGTCAGTTACCGGACAATTCGTCTCTACGCGTGATTTCGTATGGAAGATAGCAAATAAAAGAACGTCTTAAATTATATGAACTAGTTTTCTTTTATCTTTGTGATCGTTATCTCCCTCTCTTAACCTCGCGAACCGTGATCATCGCCCTTGCCGCTCGGGGCGAGAATCACGCCTAGCCGTCGTCGAACGAGCCCACGCCGCGTCCGAGGGGCATCCGCGCCCCAGGACTTGACAATGTGTACAAAAGATTTTTCTATGGAATTTTAAAATTATATACAAATTTACCTTTTTAAAAAAAAGGTAAAAAAAGCGCTAAGCGTTGATGAAACTTCTCGTAAAGAATCACCATTTGGGCCAGTTTCACCAACGCCAATTACTTAATCGGCCGTGAAACTGACCAGTTTCACCAATGCCAATTACTTAATC